TAAATGTTCAGTAAAATACCTTGTGCTCCAAAAAATAAAAAATAAAAATCTCTAAGTTGTTATTTTGATTGTTTTTACAAGAAAGGAGAAAAAGTTCAAAACAAAAAAATTAGACTTTTACAATTGTATCAACATTTCTCGGTCATATCTAGATTTTCAGCCATTTAGAAAAAGACATTTCAACAAAGTTAAGAGTTTGAGTTTTTTTTTTGTTTTTTTTTAAAGATTGTGATACCAATACTTTCCCTTTGAGTGAAAATGACTATCTGCTCCAAATATCGGTTTTCTGCCACCTTGACTACTAACTGGTATTAGCCATGAAAAAAAAGCATGTCTATATCTACAACAGTAATTAAGACAGCTAAAATGGTTGTTAAAAAAACAAAACAAAAAAAAAAAGTCATCGAGGTGGAAACAAATGGCCAGCAAAGAGCTGAGGAGGTGAACTGCTGGCCAACCTGAATGATGGGCGGATGCTGCAGCAGAGTTGGGTGGCCCACGAAGCGAACGTCGTCGATCTTCAGCTCAAACTTCTTACCGCACATGTCCGACTTGGTGGCCAGGATTGTTGCCAGGATGCTGTCGGAAAACCTAAGAGACGGAAAAGGCCAGGCTTATACCCGAGAGTTTATTTGAAAAGAAAAAAAAACATCGACAGCCACACATTTTGAGAAAGATTTTCAGGCTGAGAAATTTTCTGGAGCGCTTTTAATTCCATCCACTTCTTGTGATTTGTATAAAGACAGAAATAACAATTTTGTGTGTGTGCGTGTGGGTACACATTCTGCTGAAGATTCATGCGGCAGGGAATTCATGCTGCAATGAAAGACTTTGGAGAAGAAAAAAAAAAAGCACTACATACTTTTCACAACGATTCGGAAGAAGGGAAAAAAAAATTGAATTTAATTGGCGTTTGCAGCCAATTTCAATGGATGCAACATGCTGCAGGTTGATTGATTGCGCTTTAATCCGTTTCCCATGAAGTATACGACAACACGAAACAGCAAATGAACACACCTTTCACCGAGGGGAATGTACACAAGAACGTTGGCACGTGTTACAAAAGAAGAAGAATTAATAAGAAATCAAATCGATCAGTGGCACTAAATAAATAAACACAAGCAGAGACAGCGAGTGATGGCAGAAAAAAGAAAATGTGCCTCTCGGAGGATTCCAGAGTCTTACCCCGCTACCAACTGTTCGTCAGTTAATGAAGATGACTCTCTGAAATGGGAATGGGGCCATAAACAAAACAAAAAGAGAAGAACCAAGCAAACAAAAAATAGGAAGATGCAACATGTGCTATTTTTACTTCGCTTAACCGGTCTCATATGATTGTTCAAAGGAGTAGGAAGAAGTAAAAACAAGTATCTAGTCCTACCCATTGTTATGTATTAATATATACATAGATCATTTTTTAAATATCAATCAGAAAGGAAAAGGAAAACGTCTGCATATGAACAAATGCTTTTACCCTTATATGTGCTATACTTCTCTATTTTACAACTTTTGGTTTGTATAGGGACTTTATACATACACACTCTAGCACATTTATATGTCGATTTTCTCTTGTATTCATAATGGATGTTGCATTACATTTATGTCGTTTTTTTTTGTACTTTTCTCTTGAATTTGTTTTTGAACTCAGCAAGCGAGTCACTAATTTTCAGGTCAGTTTCAAAATTATTCCCCCGATTAACACCTATTACAGATGCACTCCTTTGCTTGACGTTTGTTCTTGTTTTGGATTTTTTTTTTTAGAGGTTGGTGCCCCTTAAATCATAGCAACGTTATCGAATTTCGCAAAGCTTCAAGATGTTTTGGCAGAGGAGGTTATTGTGTGCTTTGTACATTAATTGGGCTATTTGTGAAGTCAACCAGGTCATAAAATTTCATCGTGTTTAATTTGATAAATAGTGGATTTGTGGGTTCCGTATATTTTGATCTATTAATAATTCTGATTCCTTTTTTTTTGTCGTTTTAAAACAGAACTGAGAACTGGTTGCCAGCCAATTGCAGGGCAACATAGACAAACAATCATTCACACTCACAATCAGCCTTAGGGACAATTTAGAGTGTCCCATTCACCTACCATGCATGTTTCTGGAATGTGGAGGGAAAACCAGAGTATTCTGAGGCAAACGTGCAAACCAGCTGGCCACTCTCGCAAGTACTGATACCTTGAAATAGGGTATCAGCACAATACCGGCACCCGGTATAGGTGCTCACCCATCCCTACTTTTAACATTATGAGTAAGAGAGTACCTTGAATCTCCATCGTGATCTTCAACTTCTGCCGTTGTATTCTGGGCATAGCGATTCCGCTGTTTTGCTTGTGGGGGAGAAGATAAGGCTTAAATATTGAAGCCATAATTTGACATACACTGCTCTCAATACGTTAGGGATATTCCGACTTTTTGAGGTGAAATTTCATAATGAACGCCAAATGCACTATAACGGTTTCAGGCGTACTTATTTGACCGCCTCCCAACCTTTGAATGCACATATCCAACTGTTGAGCGTTTCAGTTCATTTGTCACTATTTGCTAAATGGCAAAATTCACAACACAGTGCAACTTATGCCCAGAGTGTCCTGAAATTTCACCCGAAAGCCAAATATAATTGAACGAGTTGCAACGCGTGTATATAAACATCGTTTAACCAAACATTGGGTGTGTTTCATGAGGATGCAGCCAGTGTGATGCTAACGTATACCTGCGTGAGACGACGCACACTCGGCAGTTCGCTGGAAAGGGTAGCGGAAAAGCAGCTTGTTCCCGCGGCTACCGGAGCTCACTAAGATGACACTTATGGGGCTGGTCTTGTGTCCGCATCGGGGCTCCCTGTACAGGCTGATTCTCGGCTGCGTGACCGCCGATTTTCGTTGGTCATCTGCGGATCCGCCGCCGCCGGACGGGTTGAGCATCATAATAGCATGCTAGATCGCTCGCATGGTGGCGACACAATTGACACTTCTCGATACAAAGTGAAAACACAACTCGTTGCAAGGTTAACTCTTAACGATGCTCATTAAACGCTGCTTGAGGATAGTTTTCTCAAATGTATTCACCTCGGCTCCAATTTTCACGTTGCCTCAACTTCTGCAACTCAAGTCGATTGTTTAGTGTCAATTTTAAAGTGTCCGACTGGAAACAAGCAACAAAGTATTAATGCGCATGCGCTAATTCATTTCCAATTCGGCGGGACAAAGATGAAACAGTTTTTCAATTTTATATTTTTCAGTCAAATAAAACAGTATACGTACGTCTCACACTAAATCCTCAACGATACTTACGTTACACTGTTTTTAAATGTTTTTCTGTAATGTTAAGTGGGGAAATGATTGATCTTAATCGGGAATTTAATGGGTTTTGTACAACTCAGTTAACAAATGCAAATTACAATAAGAAAAATATAATCACGTTTTGCATTTGTAAACAGAGAACATAACAATATGGGAATAAAATAATAAGTATATACATTTAATATACATTCAAATAGAATTTCATAATGAAAAATATAATCACGTTTTGCATTTGTAAACAGAGAGCATAACAATATGGGAATAAAATAAGTATATACATTTAATATACATTCAAATTGAATTTCATAATGTTTTTTTTTTTGTTTAGAATTTCATAATGTGGGTAAACAGTCGTGTCTCCCAGTGACGTCACATACTCCGGAAACGCCCGCGGCCGCCATGTAAAACGTGAAATACATTTAAAAAAAATAATAAACTTGATAGCCTACATCAAAAATAATGAATTAATCTCCATTGTTTGGCTTTCAGCAGTACATACCACAAAAAAGACACAGTTCACCAGCACCAGACGAGACTGAACATTTGAGATTAATGCTTTCAAAACCCCGCAGACTGTATTTTACGCTGGTCAACAGCACTGTATTATTATAAAACACATATGTATTTACATTTTTGAAAGGCTATTACACGGAAGACGTTTGAATACTGCTCACATCAAAATTAATGTCTGACCGTCAGCCATTCATCCAAACTAGTTGCTGAACCCCGCACACTGTGCAACAGTTCCGTTGGTTTCAGCATCGTCACTCAGTGTGCGGCGGGTCTGAAGATGATGCACGCATTTGTGAAAGGACTCAAAACAAAACATGACACATTCATCATTGCTTTTGATAATTGATTATATTTGGGCCCAACAGAAAGACAGAATTGAATACAATCATGTTGGCTTTCTTGTGGATCATGCTGTTTATCGGTACTTGTCACTAATGGCGAGCGTCAGGGCGGCCAGGAACTTGTCCATGCTCACATGGACCTCTGGGGTGAAATTCTTTGGGAAAAGCATGGCCATCACCACAAGGATGCAGTGAGAGAGAACCTGGGTGTGAAAAATATAAGAAATTTAATAAGTTAAATGCATATAATGCACAGCAATATACAAACAAAAAACACGTTTGGTCAAATCCACCCCAAATTAATTTCTAAAAAGTTTTCATGCTTCTTTTTGCCATAACGCATAAGGATTTTTTTTTTCAGAACGAGTGATGTGCAACATGGAATTATGAAAGTGTTTTTTTTTTTCTTTTAATCTTCCACCCTTGTGCTAAAATGTCCAATTCACAATGTGACAGCTTGAATGAGCTAAAAAAACAACAACAACAAATGAGAGTGAAGAGTGCATCCACCTTGAAATTGGCAGGGTCCACTCTCAAGTTAAAGGCGTGCAGCTCGCTGAGGCTCAGCAGTCCACTGGTCAGGTTGTCAATTTTGCCTATGGCTTCGTTGACGCCGCCCATGATCACCTTGCCATGCTTCTTGATCGGAGCGGAGCCGAGGCTCAAATCCTTCCAGTGGGAGAAGTAGGTCTTGGTCTGTGGGTACACGTAGATCATCCTGAGAAGGCAAACAAACTCAACATCAAGGAAGTGTAATGTGATTTGCGTCGTGTCTTTACTGGGGTTCCACTCACCTGGTCAGCGCTTCACTCCCGATGAGATCTGCTCTTTTGGATGCCAGAGCCCAGAAGGCCTTGACTGCATCTTTGTCCTTGCGGGAAAGACTCATCTTGCTGCTGTTTAGCAAAGTTGAATGTCCCGATGAGGGCAAAATTGAGCCTCTATATACAGTGTGGCAAGGGGCCTCAGGCACACCTTAGATATGATGTGTGCCTGCCAGCTGGATGGCATCCAAGCGGTCCCGACTGCAGAAGACACAGTACACTCTCATCACTACAGCTGAAAAATAAACCCAAGAGAGAAAGTCCATTTAACACGAAGGTACTTGCATTTGCAAAAGTTTGCTATGAAAACTCACTTAATGTGAGTTTGATACATGTTTCTGAACTGCTTTTTGTTGTTGTTTTTTGGACTAAAAATGACTTCAGTGTTTCAATACAAATGACTTGATTCAACCCTTAAAGTTAGGAGGGCCCACCGAAGGGCCCTCCGTCGTCTGTCAAAACAAATCGCTGATGCACGTCGTCAGCTGAGTACATGTGTGAACATGTTATGCATCTTTTAAAAGCTGAGTTTCTGGAGATTTGAATGATCAAGCTTTGATCCTGTCGTGTTTTCAAGTCCTAATCAACATTCTAAATCCATTTTCAAGGCAGAAAAGAAATTAGACGAACATAAGCTTCGCCTTTTTTTTCTGTTTTCGAACATCCATAGTTCAGTGACAGGAGCACTTACACAGATTCTAACTGTATGGGAGAAATATTCATAATGATAAAATTTAGAATATTTCAAAAAGAGACCAAAACTATGCTGTTACTCCAAAGGGTTCAAGAACAGCTACAAATTCACTTTGGGTGCACCTTTCCATCGGCGTTTTTGGCAAAATTGCCCTCGGTTCAAGGGGTTTTAAGGCATTCTCTTACCATCCTGTTTTCTTTAGCATCAACACCACATACATATTTTTTTATGTGCCATCATGTACATATGCAACTCCCTGTGTAGTGATTAGGCAAAAGTAAATAAGTGAATGATCCCCCCCCACCTCCAAAAAAAAATGCATGACACATTCATCGTTGCTTTTGATCATTTATTGAAAGTGAGCCCAACACAGAGCGAGAGGAACGAATTGAATCCCGTGGCCCTGGTTGATGTTGTTTATCTGTACTTCTCAGCAATGGCGAGAGTCAAGGCCGCCAGGAATTTGTCCACGCTCACGTGGACCTCCGGGGTGAAATCCACCGGGAATTGCGTGGCAATCACTACAAGGATGCAGTGAGCCAGAAGCTGGGTATGGAAAAGACAAGAAATTTCAGAAGGTAAACGTATTGATTAGCTTGGTTGGAAAAAAATATATTTAGTAAGTGCAGCACTGTACAAAAATAAATAGATCAAGCACACTGAGTACGTTGATCTAATTGACTTGAAGAAGAAAAAAAAATGTTTCCTGCTTCAATTTTTAATTCTGATTCAATTTCCTTCAAGTTGGACTTTTAAGAACAACGGCTAGCAAATGCCATTGGCGAATCAGGAAAACGTGTTAAATCCTCCATTGCTTATTCTAGTAGGGATAAGCGACATATAAAACGGATGGGGATCTAATATTCAATCTATTTGGATGATATAAAATGACCCTATTTCAAGATGGCAGCCTGATTTGGCCAAACCAAATAAAATGTGTGTGAAGAGTGCGCCCACCTTGAAGTTGGCGGGGTCCACCCTCAAGGTGAAGGCATGCACCTCGCTGAGGGCCAAAAGGCCACCGGTCAGGTCGTCCATTTTGCCGATGGCATCGCTGATGGCAGCCATGATGATCTTGCCGTGCTTCTTGACCGGAGCGGAGTTGAGGCTCAAGTCCTTCCAGTGGGAAAAGTAGGTCTTGGTCTGGGGGTAGACGTAGAGCAGCCTGCAAAGGCGGACAAAGCCAACGTCAAAGGAAACGAAGTGTGATGCGCTTGTCGTCTTGGCCGGCGGCATATTTACCTGGATAGAGCTTCACTCCCGATCATGTCTGCCCTTCCAGCAATCAGAGCCCAGAAGGCCTTGACTGTGGCTTTGTCCGTGCGGGTGAGACTCATCTTGGTGCTTCTGCAGAAAGTTGGATGCCTCTCTGAGGACGAAACTGAACCTTTATATGTGGCAAAGTGGGCACAGGCACACCCCAGATATGATGTGTGCCTGCTGGATGCCATCCAAACGGTGGAGGCAATGCAAAACACACCCACAGCAACACCAAAAAAAAAAAAAAAGACGAGGGGGGTAAAATGCTATTGTGTGTTGTATCAAGATGTGGACCAGTCATCATCACGTCTGCCTTACAGTTCTGACGGTCTGACCGTCAACTCCGGTCTTACTGATGGGCCTTTTGCAACTGATGATCACTACACGGTCGTCGTTTGCATCTGTCAAGCTGACGTTGATGGTGAACGAAGCAAAACGATGACGATCCCCAAAGTATCGTTCATTTTAGGGATTCTTTTCAAAAATACAGAGAGAATTTGGCGCTCGTGTTGAATCATGTGGGTTGAAATGGTACTTGGTGCATTCTACGGTCCAAAACATTGACGTCAATGCAGTGGGTTTAGTATGCAAACACTTGGCAGACATACGCAGCAGTCTTATCAGTTCATATGCACGGCACTTAAAAAAAAAAAAAAGCGCATCTGATAAGCAGCATGTACCCTCCTCGCGGGGACGCAAAAACACTTTTGACTTTTTCATGCACCAATTAATCCAACAAGAACCGATTCAAATGCTTTTATTCAGTAGAAGTATTAATTCATGGGATTTTTTTTTTTTAATTTGGCTTCTGGCCAACAACAGAAACGGTCTTAATATTTTCTCTCTTGTAAGTTCAGATAACCTAAGTATTCAAAACGGCCCTCGAAGGGAAAAAATATTTGTTACTGCTCATTAAAATGCACAAATGCGCATACAGTTGGATATCATAAGGCCTTAGAGGGGAGATTTTTTTTTCCAAGATCACTTTATTATCCTCATACCATTTTAACATAAGCACCAACTGTTCCCCAAAATACCACATTAACATTTAAATAAAATGTTGCCTGCAAAGTTACAAAAAAGGATCAATTTTAGAAAAAAAAAGAAGTCTGATCAGAATAGAGTAGTATTTTTCCAACATAGTCTTCAATAGCATATTATGCAAATTCAAAGTTTTATTTCAAAAAGTATTATTTTTACCATGTGCATTTCCCCAAATGTGTTTTTCTCATAGTCTTAAACTTTTTCTGAAAATAGGACAACAGTATGTTTTGAAAAAGTAAAATGCTTTTGGTTGTTGGGGGATGGGGGTCTTTATTTCTGCTATAATAAAGCGATGTTACATTCATGTGATGCGTCACAATCGCAGTGTTTTTAATTGTCCTGAAGCTAAGGCAGGAAAATTATAAACAATATTGTTTGTGACCGTGCATTTTTTTGACAAACATAAAATGGCTCAAGAGCCCCCTGGTGAGCCCAGTTTGAAATCTACTGTGAAATATAAGACCATACTAAACATAAAAAAAAAAAAAAAAATTAAACATCTGTGACTTGAAAAACATTTTGAGTACATGGCAAAAGAAACTATCTGCCATCCATTTTCTGTACCTCTTATCTTGACTGGGGACGCGGCTTGGTGGCATTCCACTTATTTTGGGTGAGGCTCAGTACGCCCTCTACTCATTTCCTCTCAATGAAAATGAAACTTTGAGAATTAAAAGAAATTTCATGCTCTGGTACCCTCTACGAGAAATTGTTGCACTGTACATCAGAACATAACAGACAGGAGAAAAAGCACGTTGCCAATGACAGAATGTCTCTCGATGAAGTCTTGAATGAAGACTTGCGTGTCATAAAGTACTAAAAAACATGCAAAACAAGTGTAGCGCAACGAAAATTATGTTTTGAGTTGGAGGTGTAACCGGGTGCGCTAGTGTGTATGTTGAGCCTCAGTCTCCTCCTTTGTGATGGGGAATTCCAGGGAAGTCCTGAAGAGAGGGGGCGCCTCTTCTTTATCCTCTGCGATTGGCTCTTTGCGCTCCTCCGCGACCGGCTCTTTGCGCTCCTCCGCGACATGCTCGCCGCGCTCCTCCGCGATTGGCTCACTGGACCCCGCCGCGATCGCCTGCCGAGCCACGGGAGCATGGATCCGCAGCTGTCCATCCTCCATGAGGGAGCAGGACAGTCCAGACAGGTCCAGGTGAGGCGACAGGTGGATCCTCTGCTTGAAGCCCACCTGCGAGGCCGCCGAGGAGGCGAAGGAGGCTTGGGAGGAGGGAGAGGAGCAGGAGTGAGCTTCCTGAGCGCCCGCCTGCTTGGCGGCCATCACCAGCAGGCTGCGTCCTTCTAATTTGACGCTGATGTCGCCGGGGGCGTAGCCGCGGGCGTCCAGGGTCACCAGGAGGTCATCGTGTGGCGAGCTCTGCCCGACCTGATTCTGCCTGACTTGATGTTGCGTTTCCTCTTCTTCGGCTTCGTCTCGGTCACCCATTCTGAGCACAGCGGAAAGACGCCACTTCAGATTCAAACTCTTGTATTTTGGGGGGGCTCAATGTGCTGCGGTTCTTGTCAAGAATGCCCCCAAGTACCCCCCATTCCTTGTCTTTCAATCTATCCATCTCTATTAAGTATCCATTCATCACGTACCTGAGGAAATTGGACGACATGAGGGGTGAATTGAAGAGTCGAGATCCATCCTTGAAGAACGTGTCGGTCAGATCGACTTTGCGGTTGAGGAGGTCCTGCCGTAGGGAGGAAAGGGGCCACAGGAGCCCTCCCTGGCTGAAGAAGGGGTCATCGCCAAAGAGGCTGCTCAGGGCTGCGTGTCGGGACATGAGGTTGACGTTCAGGCACGGAAACGAACTCAGGCGGACGTCTTGTTGAGCTTCTTCTTCTGGCTCGTGTGGTCTCTCCTCGCCTTAATATACTTCGACAATGAACGCTCCCCCCTCCAACCGTCTTCCTTGGTGCTATTTACAGAACATGAGCTCAGGGTTGCTCCCATGTGTCACCGAGGGAAGGGATACCCTGGGAGTCGTCAGATGGCTCAGCAAGGCTCAGGGCGACATCTTGTTTGTGTTTCGACTGAGTCACAACAGGTGGCAATATTTCAAGATGAGAAAACTCTGACATGAGACTTTGTCGAAAAGCAACCAGTGAATCGGGATTTTCAGACTTGAATCAGAACGCATGCTGCGATATTGTTGTGTCATGCTTGAATGGTGTGATGCACGTATGCGGGAAGTGCGCATGCAACCTGTGGGAAAAGGGCTGGCATGGCCGCTTTGGAGCGCCCTGTTGTCATGGCGGGGAAACAACCTGGGGAGATTTACTGAATTCCACTCACTGAATGCTTTAAACCAAGGGTGTCAAACTCATTTTTATCATGGGCCAGATTTTAGTTACAGTTTCCCTTGGAGTGCTGTTATGACTGAAATCGTATACAGAAGTCAAGAATAACAGTTCATTCATCTATTGTTTAAGTTACTTTAATGAGGGGTTTGGTAACAAGAAAATGCTTACAGTATCACTAATATTTATTACAAATGAGAATTTGAAATTTCGGTACAGATTTTCGCAAGAATCATGAAAGTTGACATCTTTGATTTGCTTTTGCGGGCCACGTAAAATGATGCAGCGGGCCAGATCTGGCCCCCGGGCCTTGAGTTTGACACAGGTGCTTTAAGCAAATGTATTTTCACCACTCAAATATTACAAGAAACACGCTAGCGAAATTAGCATCCATTTCACCAAGTTGCGACCACAGCATTTGAGACAAACGGCTTCATTTTTCAAGATTTTGAAGCCTTGTTTTTAATCTTGACATTTTTTTTCAGTCATTCAAATTTGTTTGGGTGGTTAACAACACCTCTCTGTGGTGTGTCAAATTGAGAAGACATTTATTTTCACTTTGCAGCAAAGGTGTACGGTTTGAATCGACCAAAGTTTGCCGTGTCATGTAAATGGAAATCTTTTGCATCTTTCCAATCAAAAGAAAACTTCGAAAAACAAAAATCCCCCTGCCCCACTCTCCTCACTCCATTAAGGCCTGAATAGTCATCTTAAACACGTGTGACGCGAGCAGCTGTCAAGAGTGACTAACAGCTGGCGGTCACAAAGCACAAATTTAGGCGAACATATTTAGGTTACAAGGTCTCATCGCCGCCATCTTGAGGCATGAGCTCAGCACGTTGGCATCCGGCATGCGAACATTACAAGGAGCGAGCGTCATGAGCGTTCACGGCTGTCGGGCCTTTTGGCTGGCACCAAAAGTAGTCGCCCGTGTGGCGCCCGGATAGACTTTTTCGGCTCTTTGTTTTGGAGTTAGACTTAAGGTCCGCCCTTCTATTCATCTATCTATATACGGATATCACATTAGACAAAGCAAGGCAGTTTTATTTCTAGTCGATAACACATTTCATACGCAACTCACTGTGCTTCGTTACTTCATCACTGTTTTGATACAAGGCTTTATGAACTCCAGTAACACCCACAAAATGCCAGCAGGTGGCAGCATTACCCTCCAAAAACCCTCCGGTTGAATCTCTATTTCAGTCATTTCACGTTTAATTTCATAATACAAGAGTCAATTTTTTTCTACAGTATTATGAACGTATAAAATGTAAATGTGATCAGGTAAATGGTGGCTAATGGCTAATTCACTCGAAAACTTAGCAGTCCCTTCAGGACCATATCTATGCCAGCGAGGTGAAAAGACCGGCGGAACAATTAAATGTTCTTCCACTAGATGGCAGCAGTTCCAATAAACCTGCCGTGTTGCTATTCATACAACAGAAGAACAGTTTATGTTGAAATAGGTTAGTAAACAACATATAAATCAGTCTTTGAGGAAAGTGAGACGAGATTATCTTCATTTCAGTATAAAATATTGTTCGTGTGTGTTTGTGCTGCGTTATTTTTCTCATTTAAGATTGTTGGAAGGTTGGGGAACACCGTTGTCACATATGCATTTTTTTTTTTCAAAGACATGACCGCAACTTTATACAAATGTTGAATTTTTGCTTCTTTGAAATTGTGTAGCATTCAAATGTTAAAAGCAGTACAAAGACTTGGGATTTTTTTTGTTTTGTTTTAATTTTGCATTTATTGATGACAAGCACACAGTAAAGACATGCTGCTGTTGCTGCTGCTGCCTGTTTTCCCGGGGGGCTGTTTTCGGGCCCGTTTATCTGTATTTCTCGGCCAGGGACAGAGACACAGCGGCCAGAAACTTGTCCATGGCCACGTGCACCTCGGGGGTGAAGTCGATGGGGAACATGTTGGCGAAAACCACGAGAATGCAGTGGGTGAAAATCTGTGAAGAAGAGCATAGTGCCATATATTATGTTGTCAACCTCAAATGTTACGCACTCATTTCATGGTCGGAATACTTTGGGTTTATGCATCCAACTTATGAATACTCATTCTTGTTAGTTGATTCTTGTACCTCGGGATTTGTTGAATACATTTTCTTTTACTTTATTTTTGTTTTTATTGACTCCAAACATGTATCACTGTTCATCATTGTATGCCTGCGACCTAGTTTGACAACTAAATGTTCTTCCATATATATATATATATATATATATATTTTTTTTTTTTTTTTTAAGTAAACTATAACTTTATATTATTTACGTTATAATACGTATAATAATAACATTGAATAGAAGGTAAATAATTAAACAGTTTGTGAGTCCTAATTACTTGCACAACTGCACCATGGGTTACTGTTGCACAGTCAGGAAGACACAAGCAAAGAAGGCTTTCACGACTACTGTAAGTGACTCATAGCGGCGATAATGTTTGTTGCTTTTCGCAGAGGATAAAGAAAGTATGCCTGTGAGTGTTATATTGTCTGTATACATCGCGATGACAGATGCTATTCGTTGTGTTGTTTGGCATTCAGCTAAGAAAAGTGGTGTGCTTGTTTGAAATACACACAGCGTAATCCACTTTGTTTGATGTTTAGTTTGACAGTCAACAGCCTATTTGGAGTGACACTACACAGCTCGGAGACCACATTTTTAAAAAACATTTGAATAGTGCCAAACTGCCGCTCGTTGCGAGGTAAATGAAGTTTAACTCACTGCACATGCAGCGCTTTTGCCTGTGCATGTGTGGATTTACCTTGAAGTTGGCCGGGTCCACTCTCAAGGTGAAAGCGTGCAGCTCACTGAGGGGCAAGAGGCCTCCCTTCAGGTCATCGAGCATGCTCACAGCGCTGCCCACACCGGTCATGATGGTCTTGCCATGCTTCCTGACAGGCTCGGAGCCGGGGCTCAAGTCCTTCCAGTGGGCAAAGTAGGTCTTGGTCTGGGGGTACACAACCAGCAGCCTGCGCCAAGAAAAAGAAGCTGTTGAATAAGGACGTAGATGGAAGCTGGCAAAAATCTGAGTGTTGAGCTGAAGCTTACCTGGACAGAGCCTGCACACCGATGTCCTCCACCTTTGGGGCCACTTTGTCCCAGAAGGCCTTGACGGTTGCTTTGTCTCTCTTGGTAAGACTGGTCATCTTTGCAGTTGCTATGAGGACTGTGGTGCTACTAAAGTGCGGCGGGGGGCTTTTTATAGGCAGAAAAGCGCGGCCGCACCCAGGACGGCTTCTGATGAGATAGGCCGCCGCACGCCTACCAAAGAGATAACTCAACATCTGCTCATTGTGTTTCTCAGCGACACCCGTCAGCCTCCACGGCAACACTTTGTCGGGAGGAAATTGAGCAGGAGCAGCTGTAAACGACCTGAAATTCATCTATGATTGACTCATTGTACATTTAGATGGTATATGATTCATATTGATGTCGTGTTATATTTGTCCACATCAAATTTCAAGCGTTCACATTTCCTAGCTTGAGTTACGGGACTTCTCGGTGAAATAAAGCAAAACGGAAAATGACGCTGGTCAACAGCAACTTTTAATCAGAGATGGCTTGAGATGTTCCTTGACATATTTTTGACCCTGATTTCAGTAACGTATTGACTTTTTTTTTTGAACATATCAGGATTTGGGAAAATTTCATTGTTTTATTTTTTTTAACCCTTTGAGGGACAGTGGTTACTACAGTGGACAGCTTACCATGTTATCAGGTTACAGGGTGCATGAAAGACAAATAGAAGTGTGCACAATACAGATTTTACCAAGCGTAATTATTTCAATATTTCATGAAAAAAAATCCAACTGTTGCCGAACCCTTAATTAATAAATATTAATACATGTATATTACAGAATATATTTGTATTATTATGAAAACCTGATAATTAGTGAACATTTGGAACCAACCCCCAAAATAATATTTTGGAAAAGTTTACTTACATCTCTGGTTAAAAGTTTTTCTTAAAATTAATTGAGCAAAGTGCTCTACCCTGTTTCCTCATTCATCGACTAGCATCTTGCTCAAGGACATGTCAACATGGTCACAATGACTAGGGATTGAACCTCCAACCACTCTACCACTAAGCCGTGCCACCTCACTATGTAAATCAATTACACTAATCATGCAATTAATGAAGTGTATCATTCTATATACCATTGTCACCAAAAATGTTTTTTAAAGTAGACAAAAAACATGTAAATGTGGAACCTGTCTTGTCATTGACAAATATTGCCTTCACCGACTACATGATTGTAGTGTAATTCAAAGACGACGGAGTCCAATTGGGCCAGATTTCAAATCTTTGCTCTTATGCCGCGTTTTATTTTATTTTCCGACAGTAACCTCTATTCTTGCTTTCTTATCTGCACTGCAGCTGCCAGGGGAGTTGCCGCTAAAGTGACACTGCAGATAATTCCACACTTTCATTGCATCGTGCTTTCAAAACTACGTTGATCGATTGGATGGTTTTTCTGCTTGACAGACATGCACTGGATGCAACGTAGAGCAAATTAATGCATTAAAACAGGTGCTGCTCAAGGGTCACATTCGATTTTTTTTTTTAAATGGGCAGACAGTCCAGATCATTTGTAGATGAGGTAACCCCCCCCCCCAAAAAAAGTGTATGTAAAATATGCACAAAAGATTTTTAGCTATAATTTAACTCGAAGATACTAAACAATTAAAAAAAACATATATATATATATATACACTATATATATATATATATATATATATATATACACACACACACACACACACACACACACACACTTTACTAATATATAATTTTATCTAAATTCAGTCAGAGAAATGAATAAACATATTTAAAATCACAAATTTTAGGAGAAATTCACTTGTCCAAAAATCCAAAATGTTCATTTATATATGCCAGTGACGAATGGTGACAGCAAGGACAATGACATGCTGTCTGAACAAAGCGTGTAAACTGAGAAGAGATCATTTCAATATTCAACCACATTGTGATGTTTTTGAAATGATAACAGGAGCATCGTCGCAGGAAAGATTGTGAAAAGGGTGCATTCGAGTATGTTTGCTGACATGCTAATGTGACTCAGCTAACATGAGAGCATTATCTCAATGACTCCTCCCAAAGGCAAGTCCGATTCTTGCGAACACTCCTTTTTGCTACGGGTGCAACTCAAGGGTGCGGCACCTGCAGTGAGAGCCCCATTGCTCGCTTGGAGAGCATTTTGGGGGTCAGCCTACATTTTGGGGGTCAGTAAGCTGGGAATCGGTTTGGGGCCAGCTTGAGTGAGCAAAAATGATGTCACACATCACACAAGAGAAAAGCATTTCTCGTTCCATTTTTATGCCACCCTGTGAGGCCTTACTCAGTGCACATGCCAGAACTTCTACTGCCGCAGAGTCATCAGATATTTCGCAGACAGCTTCATAGTCGAGATAGGAGTCCAATAGGGTTGCCTATGATCCCCTTTTCTTTGGGCAGTTGACCGGATCATTTCATATATATAAATATATATATATATGTATATATATATATATTTTCCCCAAGCTCACCAGTGGTATTTTGCAGCAGACAAAAAAACTCAAGTTTGGTTCAAACCATGTTCCGCTAATCTGTAAAATATTTTTCCAGTTGGCAAAACATCTCTGTCTTGTGTTCTTTTCCTTGGGGAAATAAGTGGGAAGTAGGTCATCCCTTTTTTGGACTCGCCATTTTCCTGTTGATACAACATGAATATTTGATGCATGTAAAGTCTCATGTGGATAGGAGGAAATATCAACTACTCGGGAGGAAGTTGTAAAAGATGAAGTAAACACAGACTCTAAACAGCAGCTCAACAAAATTCAGTCAAAAGTCAAGACACCTCCCCCACAAAAAAAAAAAAAAAAAAACTAACAACAGAGTAGAGAAGCCAAATGGTTGCCAAATGATTTCCAATGATGAAAAAAAAAAACGTCAGGAAGTTGTAACGCTCCTGAATTGTCTGGATAGGGGGTGGCTCGAAGAAGCATAGACAAGGATAAGATGTTTGCACCAACAAGGTTTATGAACAAAATCTACGGTGGCGCATGACTTGCATCACCGGAAGTTGTGACCGCTCAGAGCTGTTGCGATCTCTCTTTCCTACATCCAATAAACCTCAGAAACCCAAAAAAGATGCTTGAAAAACCTGGTTGACATGAGTCTCGTGTCTTGCTGTCCACAGAAATTCATGTAGTCCGAATGTTGGATGAAAAAAAAATGTACTTCAGCACCACCTTCTGGTCACTTCCAGAATTGACCAGATTGAACGTTCAACAGCTGGAATCACATCAATGTGTTTAGTAGTCGACACACTGTCGAACATAAATTGTATAACTTTGTGTTATTTTACTTCAACATTGTTTTTGATATTTAACCCACAATACACCAGTAGGGTTAAACAATAATTGGTAGTTTTTTTTTAATCTTGGAAAGTGGGTTTACACAAACGGAGTTGGTATGTACACTCTTATTAATAAAGGTGATGTTCTGTAGCCAGTATCCCGAACAGAAAAGTTGCGCTGGAACACCGCGCAAAAAAAGAAAAAAAAAATTCTGCGGGTGCGGGGAAATAATATTCAAACCTTTCACGCACCCTGTAACCTGATAACATGATAAGATCTCCACTAAAGTAAAAGGGTTAAAGAAACAAACTCACAAGAGCGGAAGTGAAAATAAAAAAATAACTTTATCAAACAAGCAAAATATAATTCAACAAAAACAACAAGCTTCATATGAACAAATAAAATCTGATATTTGAGGCGCAGAGAAGCATTTCATTTCTTCCTGAGCCTCTTCATGAACGTCACCTCGTCTCTGTTTCTGATTCCGTAGCTGCGGGAAACAAACCAAAAAAAGTTAAATATAAAATACAAAATCTAAATATAAGATATAAATTAAGATTTCATTAACTTACTCTTTCAGCCTCAAGCGGTCGTCTTCCAGTTTTTCTCCCTGAAACACCAAATTATAACTCCTCCAGATATACCTCCTGGGAAAGTATTTTATTATTATTTTAGATGTTCATATTATATTATATGAGTTATTATATGAAGTATGTACGACTGAATTTGTTTGTTACCAGCTGATGTGCGTCACACCGCCTTCACGCTGCTGCTTCAGCTCAACAAACCTGCGAATAGCTTTTTTCAGGTCGAGCACACTGGCATCTTGCACCACGACGATGGCTGAAACGCAAACATTTTTTATATTTACGGTATCACCAAATACTACGCTGCATTCAAACTATTTTTGTAACGCTGTATTGTATTTCTATGAAGTAATAAACATACAAATCAGGAAATTTCTTGAAGAAATAAGCATGCGTGTTTAAAAAAAAAGGCTTGACATTTCAAGCATAACTTTTATTCAAGGAAAAAAGTTGCAAAATTGCGAGAAAATATGTTTTCAAAGTTGGAAAAATAATTACCACGTAAAGCAAGAAATTGTACAAAAAATGTCATCATGTAACCGAAGAAATCTACACATCAGAGCAAAATGTCTGTGTGACAAAAACAGATTTGGAACAAAAAAATTAACGGCACAATTTTTCTCAACATCTTTAAAACCTAAAGTGATGAAAAAAAGAATTTTTAAAAAAACATACGCATTATTTCACCATCCGCCTTTAAAACCTTGACAGTCATGGCCTGGCCGTACTCCAGTGCAATCTGAGAATTGATTTCCTCCAAAGTCACCTGCAAAAAAAGATACCACACCCACCCCACACCCCCAAAATATTGGGATTGATGAAAGATTTAGTTTGCGTGAGACCCCAAAGTTTTTTTTTGCCACGACTTGAATTTTTTTTTCCTCTTCTATTTTTGGTTGAACTGGCAATCAAGGTTATTTTTCATTTGACATAAATACAACCAACATTTCCTTATAGTTGTTTTTTTTTTACTTCTACAGGTCCTTTAAATTGGGGTTTTCAATGAGATTCACCATGTATTTCATTTATTTTTTACGATATAAAACTTATCACTTCAGAAAAAAACAGTTCTTAAAAAGATAAAGACAACATTTGGGAATTTTAGACCTTAAATTTGAAATAAATTAACCACAGAATATATTTAAAAAAATAAGAAATTCACAATAGCAACAACAATAATAACAACGAGTTGCACGTGTATTTCAAATTGTTTCACAGAGAGACTGACAATCATTTCTGTTATTTATCAAGGGGGTCGTTCATGAACGAACCATACGAGTCGATGGTTTCACCATCGTTTTTCATCTCGTCAGCAAGCTGCACACAAACTGCACAGAAAGCAAACGTACCTGAATGGGAAGATCGCAGAGTAATGGATCTTGCACGAGGCGAGCGAGTCCCTCCTCGAAAATATCCAAAACGTCAGCGTGAGTAAACGATTCCACATCTTCTTCTTCTTCATCTTCCCCCTCAACAGCAGCAGCAGTCATGTCTGACTTGTTTTGCACTTCTACTTCTTCTACCTTCACATTTTGTGTTCCGGCGGCCTCCTCGCTTGCCTCCTCCATTATAAAGAAACGTTGGCTCGGGTTTATAACCCAGCAGCTGGATTAGTTGGTCGGTGCTTGTTTCATTTGAAATACTCCCGAAGATTTTCAGTACAGTAATGGGAAAACACACAGCGTGTGCGCAGTAAATTAAACACCGGAAAGAAATTGTTAATTGGGACTATGGTTCCGCATAGCTTTTTTTTTTCCGGGACGAATTTCTAGTGTACGTGCTATTTATTTATGTGAAATGTTTCACTTTTTAAAAATAACACATCAATTACTTCGGATAATATAGTGAGGTAAAATATTTAACAGCGACAAACCGCTTCATAAAACAGGTTTGTCGTCAAAAAACAAAATAAATAAATATAATAAAATGGAAAAAAAGGGTACGGTACAAATGAATTACCGGAAAGAAACTGTTAATCCCCTCCAACAATTTATGTGATAGTCTAAAATGTATTTTCTTTTATTATTTTCTCAGTCCTACGTGTATCGGCCAATTGTATTTATGTTATCCTTGTAAAGGTTTATAGAATTTAGTCCCAAACTTGACACTTAGTCTAGTTCAACCGCGTGAATTGAGACTACACCAATAATAATTGCTTGAATGGGAGAAAGCTTTATTCATCAGTTTCATGAGATGTTTAGAGGCCCCTGGAAATCTGCTGGCCCCAGGCACAAAAGCTAAGTCCGCCTCTGCTTGTAGCCCATCAAACAGGTGAGGGTGTGGCGTTCGAGGGCACCCCCCACAGGTTCTGGGCCCTCCTGCCCATGGTGAGGATACCGGCGGCGTGGCTCCGCGACCCGTACAGGAGCTGGTGTAGGCGGTTGTTGAAGGTGCCCTCATCTTCCATGCGCTTGCCCAAGGTCAGGATACCGGCCGAGGGATCGGCCGGCCCGCCGCTGACCCCGCCCGAGCGACACAGGAACAGGTGTAGGCGACACGCTCGCGACGGCTGCCTGCAGCACTCGCCGGATGCGCTGAGAGGGTCACAACGAGTCTCGTTGGACAGCAAGACCAGCGCCAGCACCACAACTGACACCTTCTGCTGAAGTACACGCATTAGTGGTTAAAACTGAACTACAAAAAATAATTCCAGCAATACATTAAAGATAAATTCAATTCTGAATTCCGAATGTGGGGTTGGCAAAATAAATTATGGTAATTTTTAAAAAGTACTTTTGTACATACATAAAAATGCATTAAATAATAAAACTTAAGAAAATAAAAAATAATTATTAAAATTATTTTTAAATAAAAAATAATGATTAAAATTGTTTTTTATTTTAATAAAATTGTTAAATAATTATTTATTAGATTAAAACATTTCATTCAAATGAAAATTATCTCAAAATATGTAAAATTAAGAGTAAAAATAAAAAATAATTTGAATCAAAATATTAAATAATTTTTTTTGCACATTTTAAGAAGCATTTGTATATAATATATAAAACAAGTAGAAAATAATAAACAATAAAATAAAACAACGCACAAAAATGATCTCTGACATAAAATCAGAGTAAGGCAAAAATAAATCGAAAAATCAAATATTCTTACCTTGTTGGATGTGTTTGACCCAGGCAGCATCTTGAGTTTGGAGTTGAACCACGTCATCTTGCGGCTGTTGTTCGGGCGGGGAGTCATCGTCTCTTGCTTTCACATGACTTTTATATGCGCCAAACGTGACATAAGAGCCATTGGTTTTGCTCATCTCCCTGCCGTTAATTAACTCTCGTGGAGTAGATCATCTCCAGGACTCTCGGCTCCGATGCAGGTATGTCTTTGTGGTGGCAGGCCGCTGCCTTATTAACACATGCCATGATGGCGAGTTGTGAGGGAGTCGGGCTAATTAGCAGCGTGGTGTTCTTCATTACAAATATAAAGTTGGCCTTTCTTTAATAAGAAGAAGCTCATTCCTGAGGACGCTTCATTGGCTTCATGTCCTCACAGCCAGCCGTCTTATTATGCCAGTGGACGCACGAACTTGGCAAATGTTTATTTTGGGCCAAAGAAGGAAGCATCATTATGAAGAGTGATTGTTTTGATGTCATCTGATGGACAAAGAAATCATTGCTGCATTCGTTTTTTTTTTGTTTTTTATTGTGAGTGTGTGTACCGGGTATCCATTAGAGGTAACGTGTTTGTTACATTTAGTGTATTAAAGAATATAGTTTCATTTTTTTTTTCCTCCTGCATTCACAAATCATTGTTTATTTTGGATAGTAAATGCGGGTCAGTTCTTTGCAGAGCGTACGCTATAAATGCCACTGTAAACAGCTTTTAGGTTAAAAAAAAAACAGAAAAAAAAGTATTTAATTTGAGGTGTGGTTTTTATTTCTGCAAGTGGACGTTGGCATTGAATCGCGACACAGTCGAGTGTCTGTTGAGGCTGAAGCCGGTAAGGCTGCGGCAGGGTGAGTATCAGGCGTTAATAAGAGGTTAGGCATTTATTATTTGCATTGTTAATGAAATGACGTGAATAAAAGGCGTTTATTTGAAGTGCTGTGTTTATGTATATGAGTGAATGACAGGCCTGGCGACTGATTCGTGCATGGTGTCTGTTATAACTGAAGCCATAACAGGTCTTCATGAGGGGTAAGGTGTTGATTATAGAGTTTTACAATCCAACAAAATCATTTATTTATTGTACAGGTGTTTAGAGTATATTTATCATTTCGTAGCACTTTTTCCATTCACACCATTTTACCATTTAATGGCGGCGTCATGTGAGAGCTACAAAAACAGGCATTCATTTGAGGTACTGCGTTTAGTCATGTGAGCGGATGACCAACCTAGCTTCTAATTGTGCCACGGCGTCCATTATAGCCTGAACCCCCCCCTCGGGGGAATTCATTTACTCAAATGCAAAGAGTATTAAGTGTTTATTTGGGGTAAGGTGTTTACATTTTATACAACTTCTTTGAATAATATTAACTCACTTAATTTTAAGAATGGATTTTTAAGAGCTCCGGAATGCATTTCAGCACTTTCTTTTTAAAGATCCGCTTGCCACTCAGCTCTGCAGTTCATGCTGAAAAATCAGGTCATGGCAACCACAAAAAGAGGGTGTTTAATTGGAGTGTGGTGCTTACTTACGTGAGCAGACGGCGATCCGTCAGTTAATAGAGGTGTGGGCCGTATTTCAGTTGAAGCTTCTTTGGTTTTTATTTACTCAACTGCAGAGTACTGTACTAGATTTTTGTTTGGGGAATGTGTTCATTTGTAAAAAAAAAAAAACAAAAAAAACCCCACACACAAAAAATAATTATTATTATTACAACAAAACAATATTAAATAGAAATTTTTGCCATAAAAAAAAGTTTCACACCTCCACATTGCTTTGCAGCACGTCCTCCTTTAACTCCATCCACTTCAGCTTCACAGACGCCAGGTCAGCTCTGCAGGCATGTTCCGAAACCACAATTTGAGGCAAAGTGTTCAACTGGTTTTGACGAACATCTTGAACGTTAACTTTTCAGATTTAAAAAAAAAAAAGACCCATTTAAAACAATGACGCCACTTTTAATGGGTCACTTCAAGGAGACTTTACAGAATTCACACTCACTTTGCAGTGGTACACATGGCTGATGTATTTTTTTTTCTTTTTCACACATCTATTTTTATCAGTTTTTTTTTGGGGGGGGGATCCTGGTATCATGGTGCAAACCCGTAATTCCTCTCACTGCAGTCAGTATAAAGTGACTGTCCAGATATCACATAAAATTAAAATTGGGGAAAAAAAAGGAATATCCATAGAACTAGCAACAAATAAAACAGCCACCATTCGTGTCTACAGGAATCCTCTTATCATCCCTTCTTACATCTTAAATAGTTTACATCGAGATTCACTATACTTTGTGTTGAGTCACATTTTCCGATCGTGGCTGTTGAGGGAGGTGAGTCCGAGATGTTAAAACTAAAATCCCGAGAAATGATTCCGGAAGTGTCCCTCAGAGTAAAACAAATGAACACAACCTATGCCAAAAGAGGGGGGGGGGGGGGGAGTGTGAAGGAATCAAATTGCCGAGGCAAAGTGTGACCCCAAAGGAAAGCAGTCATGAGGCGCGGCTTGTAATGCCAAAGTAAAATCCGAAGAGACGGCGGAGGTGTGTGGAAAAAGAATGTCACTCCGAGAGAGAGCGCTTTGGGGATAGCAGAAGGAAACAAAACGGCATTAATGCATGCGGACAAGAACGTCACACTTGACTGTAAAGTTGACTAAACTATAAGAAAAAAAAAATAATTGTTGAGAAAGAATTTGTCATGAACTGGACTGATAAAGTGGTATTCCCCCAGTTTTATCAATTTCATCATACGCCTTTGTTATAAAGAATTTAAGATACTTTCTTTAGTTTATTTTTTTCACGAAGCACTAAGTAAAGATTCGGATCTGGTGTGCAATGTTGTTATTAAATGTCAAATGTTTCTGATTATCCTGTTCTATGATGCGTGACAAGATTTTTGTTTTTTGTTTCCCTCCCTGATCCACTTGGAAAAGGGTTGGGCGTCGAGAATCGTAAATCTGATCTGCGGAGTGTGCGCGGTATGCTTTGATGGTCATCTTGACGACACCGCACAAGAAGAGTAATGAGAAAATACAAAGTCATTGTTTTCTCGTCATGTGTGAGGTCCCTCACATTTTAAAAGAAAAAAAAAACATTGCTGTCATTGGCTTCGGTTACTGTGCAAAATCAGTGTAACGGAGTGCCTCAGGGCTCATGGGTATAGGACGACTATCTTGGATTATTTCCAAAGGGGAAAATTCATTCACCACATCAATTCTTCGATCGGGTTGTGTTCCACTTACTTACTGTGATTTTCTACATTCTCCTTTGAAGGAGTCAACAAAAATTTGGGTATTGAGACACGTCTCTGTGAACATGATCTCAAACAGGGTAGAAAACTTAATCAAATGAGTGGATTTCGACAGTGAAAAGCACATTTACATCTTCTTCTGCTCTCTCAAGTCTGACCTTCACACTCGTGTCTCGCTTCTAACGCAACCGGTCTTCCTCCTACCCGTCCTCATCATCATCATCATCATCTGGTTGACACGATCCTCAATCTCCGTTTTTTTACCGCTCGTGACTTCCTGCATTGCTTCCAGACATTTCCCTTCATCTTTTTCACTCGCTCTCGGGTGCTCGTCTCCGTGGGCGCAGGCCGTGGGTCAGCAGGGTCCCGCCGGATCGTCGCAGAATGTTTCCTTCTCCATGATGGAGTCCAAAGGTCCTGCTGCCCTTTGCTGCTGAAACTGGAAATGTGGTGGCAAGGCTGGTGGCGGGGTGTAAGGGGGTGGTTTGGGAACAGTTTGAAGCAGTGGGTGTGGGGAATGAGGTCCAATCCAGGGTTGGGTTTGCGAGGGGGACGGCAGCGGGGGCTGGGGCGAGGCCTTGGCCTGAGGCAGCGTCTGGTGTTGGTGGAGATAAGGCGGATGATGCTGCAGCTGAGGGGAGGACGCGCCGTTCTTACTGAGGCCACAGGACTGAGCCGCACAGTGGATCTGACGTAGGATGTCCAGTGCCTCACTCTTGGCGTGCTTCAACAGGTCCGCCTGGCCCTGTCACCACACGCACATGCACAAACACACAAAAACATTAAAATCTTATTTATCACAAAAAAAAAAAAAAAAAAAAAATCACGGTAGATCAAGACCGAGCCAACACCCAGTCTACCTGGGCGTAACCCTAGACCGTACCCTCAGCTACAAGGAGCACATCAAGAACACAAGAGCTAAGGTGTCAACCAGGAACAGCCTTCTGCGACAACTGACCAATTCAAAGTGGGGAGCTCACCCAAGCACATTGCGCACGACAGCACTAGCCCTGTGCTATTCCACCGCCGAATATGCCTGCCCAGCATGGTACAATTCAAGTCACGCGCACAAAATAGACCCAATCCTCAATGAGACCTGCAGGATAGTGACTGGGTGCATCAAAACAACCCCCACCCCCTGCCTCTATGCCCTCTCTGGCATCTCTCCCCCTGACATCCGTAGAGCAGTCATCGCTAAAGCAGAGCGCACAAAGCAGGCCAACGACAACCGGCACCTACTTCATGAACACTATGCCCCCCAGAAACGGCTCAAGTCCAGGAGCAGCTTCTTAGATACCACTGCATTACTGGAGACCACACCATCTGCTGCCAGGATCACTGAGTGGCACAAGCAGTGGAATAGCCTGGGAAGCCAGACAACACAATGGACAGAGAGAGGCATCACCCCAGATGAATGTCTCGCTACTGGTCATGACCAACCTTGGGCTGTCTGGAAGACACTGAACCGTCTGCGGGTCGGCGAAGGACGATGCAAGGCATCCATGAAAAAATGGAAATTAGCAACTTCCGATGCTTGTGTGTGTGGTGAACCACAAACAATGGAACACATCATGAGATGTAGAATTGCTCCAAAATGTACTGGACATGACCTGGCCGAGCCAAATGCTGCTGCACTCGCCTGCGCCACCCACTGGAAGGACGTGATATAGAAGATGGCCGGACACGAGGAAGAAGAAGACCGAGCCCGCCCAGGGATCGCAAAATTCAGCGGGCAACTGACCCCTGCCCTCTTCCTAAAAGGTGTTTGAAGTTGCGAGGAGATGCCACAAAATGACGTCAAAATACACAGTTCTAAACAAACATACAAAACAAATACCGGTATTCCGTTTGTGCTTACTTATCTATTGTGGTAGCAATAACACAGACCAAGAATAATCATCAACACCGTGCGTGTAATATGTACCCAATCGTGAACCGACGAGGGTCATCGATAGTCATAGCTAGCATACTAAACAACACGCTAGCACAAACTACTCATAGCATCATACATGGGTACACAAATATGCGCGCTAGCACTTTACACGACTCATATTTTGGCATTTATACACAATCACAATCGATAGCGAATACAATTTGAAAATTGCACAAAGAAAGTAGACCACTCGGGCTGTTAAAAATGCATCTAGCGAGACACAAGCATACTTTGTGCGTGCTCTCCATTCAAGGACTTGTCAAGTTGTCAATATTTTTCATTAAAATAGATTCAGGTGTCTCGCTGTGAAAAGAAGGAAAATGTTTTGAACAATGCTGCAGTCTTGGCAGCAGTGACGAAAGAATGTTGAATCTGCAACAAAATGTGCTGTTAAAATTGTAGATTCCAAGGAGCGATTACATGGTGTCATTACCAGTGAGAGACACAAGGGGGTAGTGTAGCACCACGAACATAAAGCGCCCTGGTCGTGCGCCAGGTTTTCTTCAGTGCACTCACGAGGCTATCACGTCCTACATTTCTGTTGACCCTTTGTTGCCAGGGCAGCACGTTGGGCGACTGGTTAGCAGGTCTGCTTCACAGTACAAAGATCATGGGTTTGATTCCATGTGGGATTTGCATGTTCTTCCCGTGCCGGCGTGGGTTTCCTCATGGTACTGCAGTTTCATCCCACATTCCAAAAACATGCACGGTAGGTGAATGGAACACTCTAAATTGTCCTTAGGTGTGATTGTGAGCACGGATGGTTGTTCGTCTCTGTGTGCCCTGTGATTGGCTGGCAACCAGTTCAGGGTGTACCCCGCCGCCTACTGCCCAAACACAGCTGGGATAGGCTCCAGCACACCCGGCCGGGACCCTCATGAGGATAAAGGAGTTCAGATAATATATGGATGGATGTTTGCTGCTGTGCAGGAAACTATTGATACAGATGTTCAGTCCTCACCAGTAAATCTGGACCATAGAATAGTAGAAATAATTGGGTCTCTGGGATGCCCGCACAACCATCAAGTTTGACATGAAACAACTAAATCAATATTTTGAGATCTGACCATGATGGAAAATGTATCTGTGAGTGAGCATTTTGGAAGTTAAACACGTAACACGTTTTACTGCTCTTTCTAGTGTGCACAGTACTATTAGTTGTTCTTCCTAGAGGATCAATAATACATGCCTGTGAGCATTGTTATATTATCTGTCAACATGAGTAGTCACAAAAAAATGGATAATACAATGTGTTTCCTTTAAAGGAGATATGCACATGCTGCGTCACCCCAAAAGCACGTTCCTCACTTTCCTGTGAGCTCCAAACTGTGAGTCTGCGCATTTTTCCCTCCCACTGAAATTCACCCGAGAGTGGCCCACTGTGCTTGACGGGCAAGCATCCCAGCTAGGCCCAATCTGTTCACCAAAAATGTCAAAATGGCATGTAAACGTCAAGTTCATTGCTGCAGGTGGCCTTTGGAAATGACACACATGCTAGCATGAAAAAGTCATGTGTTTGGACCCCCCCACACACACACACACACAAATTATGTAAGTCGTGACTCAGCGGGCATGAAATACGACAGCGACAATCTTGGCCTCTGGAGAGCGATGGAGACTCACTGACTTGGGTGCATTCAGCGTGCGACCCACCACTGTGGGGATTTGGGGGTGGGGGGTGGGGGTGACCAACCTTCTGTAGTAGGCAAAATCCGACCACTTCAGGCTCATTAAATTCCTAATCCCCTCCTTGTTTGTCCAAATCAGACCCTCTCCTTAATAGAAGATATGTCTTAAGTCATTTCTCTTGGAGCAATTAACGGCAAATTTTCTTCAAAAGACACCATTTCAATAAAATGAATTGAGAGAGTCGTTTGTAAACACATTGTACATGTTTGAAGATAATGATAATTGTGTTGGTCGAGCACAAAACGGCTTTCTCCCTTTCATCTATTTTTTGCAGTTAGCTAGCTAGCTAGCTAATGCCTACTCTCCGAAAAGGCATCTCTAAATGTTTCGAAAATTCAGCTCCTAAAGCAGGTCTCACTGAGGAAACATTAAATCTAGGAGGTACGGCTATCATGAGTAGAATCCCCAAAAGTCTCAGGAAGTCATGCTGTTAAACACAGGTGTCAAACTCAAGGCCCGGGGACCAGATGTGGCCCGCCACATCATTTTAAGTGGCCCGCGAAAGCAAATCAAAGTTGACAACTTCCATGATGTTTGCTAACATCTGTACCAAAATTTCAAAAACATCTCATGCGGGCAGGAAATGACGGAGAAGTTTGATGACGTACCAAGAATCACCAAACTTTAATCACTCAGCTCCACAAGGTCAGCGTCTGACCAAAAGACAGAAATGTATCGATGCAATAATGATACACTCGACGGCCCCCGGAAAGCTTCATGAATAGGCCAACTGTTTAGATGTTAGATTAGAATCGTCCGTTAATTTTGCGTTATTTAGACAAGGTCACTTTAGTTTGGTTTGGCTGAAGAAAAAAATTCAAGGAGAAAGAATGGCATCGAGGCAGTTATGTTTTGGAACACCAAGTCTTTCGATGAATGCCCGCCAGCATCCTTGAACTACTCGAGGCCAATTTTTGACAGAAAGAAAGCTCATAAAACATCGTCCCCCTCCTGCAAAAAACATTCTTGTTTGACAATGAAGTTGGTTGTTTGCATTCTTTGCTAGAATTCATCATCAGTAGGTGTCGCTAAAAACATGAAAATTATGTTGAAATGATCGTCAAATACCACATATTTGCCATGATTTCATCCTCTTAAATATTATGCATTTTTGCACAGTTTAAACATTTCCCAGGTGTTTGTGACATGCTTTTGTCAAAATTGCCCACGAATTATCGTCGACTTCACACACGATATCTCTTACCATGCTGAAATTAGTCCATTTGAGAGGACGGTGCTGTAAGGACCAATGCTGAGTGTTTTTTTTTGTTTTTTCTTGTCACCATAGCAACCAGGGGTGGAGCTTGAGGACTGACCAGTGGAACTAGCATCTCCGTGAACATAGCCACAGCAAAACCTTCATGCGCTGCACTGCGTGTATGTGGCGCATGGGCACAAATACTCAACACTTACCAAAAGCTAATTCTGTGAGCAAGAGCACTAAAATGAATGCAGCTCAGCCAAGGGAGCTCCCTCAACTCAATACCAAATGATCGTGAGGATGCCGGGATAAAAATATACGTTCAGCCCAGTTGGGGCTTCATCTTTTCATAAATTACACACGAGAAGCAAAGGGGTACAGTCCCCTCGCACGGTCTTATGAGGAATTACAAGCCAGCCCGTGTACAGTATGTAACGCATCAGTCACCTTGAGCACGGTGATGTTCCACGCGTAGCTCTCCATGGCTTTCTGAAGTTTTCGACCCTTCAGGCCCTCCTTTGCTCCGATGCGATGCAGGTCCTCGTGGAAGTCCAGACCTGCACACGTCAGCGGGAGGCACGTGATCAGATATTTGTTAACGTTTTAATGTTTTTCACATTTCTAAAGTACTTCAATTCATCTACTGTGGTTATGGATAAAGTAGGGGTATGCATCTCTCCAATAAAGATGATACATAACTCGGTACCTTGGGTGACATATGATTCAAGGACGATACATAAACTATTTGCATGCTATTTAGTAGTAGTAGTAGCAGTAGTATTTAGTAGTGTGTGTGCATGCGTATCTGCGTGTATGTGGGTGCATATGTGATTGTAGGTATGTGACATTCTTTGCAGAAGATTTGACAACATGCCAAACACTTTGATCCATTATAAGCTGCTTGTGACGGTCGCATTTCTAAGGCTCTGCCATGTTTTAGGAGTTTGCACATTGTTGAGACTCACAGTAAGCTCATCTAAGAGAGATCCAATGCAGCCAATCGGCTGGCCATAGCAAATGTGATAATGCTTTATTTTTATGTCATTTTATTTATTTTTTAACTTTCACATCTAATGATCAAAACAAGGTGAGTATATTCGATATTTCTAAATGCAACGGAACAACCTTTTCACTCTTAGTAATCAGTATAATACATCACCACTGCCAACTGTAACCCCAACAACCTGACACAAAGCGCGGAATATGTCTTAGAATATCCATCTGTCAGGCCTGGCTGATGTGTTAACGGGGTTCAAGGCTAAACTGATCCAGCGCTATTAATGAATATAGCTACACCGACGGTGACAAGAGATAAGCTGGTCACCATTGAGCCTCCTTAAGTATTTATCCTGCTCTTTAAATGTCACTCGGGTGCCGGACCATCCAAGTGTGTCACCGTGGCAATGTTACGACATCAGGGTGAGGGTGCGTTTGTCTGTGGAAAAATACCCAATCAAAGATGGGGGTTGGGGTTAGGGGGGTTATGTTTTGACAGATTACATTCCGGAATGTGATCACCGGGGCTGTTGTTGAGCTAGCCAACGATGACCTTCATAAAAGCCAGATGCAGAGTGGACATCTTTATCCCTGGGATTTCTGTCTTAATGGAATCGCTATCAGGTGGCCTCAAACCAGCGAGATAAGGAGGGGTGAGGGGTGGGGTTTGGGGGTTCGTCTTGGCAGGGGGCCAGCGCCTCACCAACGGCTCTCCGGCCAAACCATGAGGCATGCCTGCAACCTTGGCTCCACTGTTGTACCTTGAGTGCAGGGGTAGATGTCGGAGAGCACCAGCGGGCTAATATCAACCAATTAAGCATTATTTGTTCTTATCCATGTTATCGTTATCTACAAAAACTGCTACATCACAACTCAGTTCAAGGCAATAAGGCAAATAATTGGATATGCAGTACTCATGAAAATGAATATTATTATTGTTATGGCGAGTAAAAGTAAAAAGCAGTTGTCCAAATAATAACTTGAATAAGCATACAAAGTCAAAAATACTACTCAAGGACTGAGTCTTGAGTACTCTTCTCTCGCCCTTCCTTATTTATCCCAAATGAGACACTTTGCAAACATGAAGAAGAAAAAAAGGACTTTGGATGAAAAATACTCTGACAGGTATAATTTATACCAAAAGTAAATGTTATCAATTTATTGTAGGCTGCTACTTCCTAACTCTGGTCACAGCAGTTTCATTTTCACACTGCCACCCCACCATTAAAAAAAAACAAAAAACACAACACTGCATGCTCTGTTAAATGCTATTTTTAGTATATGCTGCAGGACACTAAAAAAAAAAACAAAAAAAAAAAACTGCGGGCCGCAAATAACCCGCAATTTGAACGCCCTGATTTACAGAATGCCACAGACGAGGATTTACAGTAGAATACAACTCAATGCCACAACATGAATGACACTGAACCACAAATCAAAACCAACTTTGACCTTCGGCGACACTCCGCAGGCGCGTTTAAGCGGGAGACGGATGGGCGCTATCACAACCGAGTGTGTAATTGGTCTTTTAAGCCATAAACATCATCTCATGCGGCCAGGCATCCGAGGTTTAGATCACAAAAAGCCCTTCCCACCCCCCGCCCCCCTTCATTAAATTGGGCCTTTGAGCTAAGCTAAGCGGCAGCGTGAGGCAGATGGGCTGGAGCACGCGGGATGTAAGCAGCCTCAATAGGAAGCTTATGCTACTAATAATTGTTGTGGATCGGTAGGGAAATGCTGCTACCTCCACAAAAGGACCTTAATTATTTCATTAATGCTTGTGCTCCTCTCTCTACTGTCTACATCCCCCAAAAAATGATCATAGCAAAGCTGCCGTCTTTGTTATTATTGGAGGAGATAAACATGGTTGCATTAAAACAAGAATAATAAAATAAAAAAAAATGTTCACTGCTAACTAGGAAAGTTATTTGATCATAAAAAAAAGGACAAGTCTTTGAAATTTAAAAAAGAAGAAATCTTCGTTTTCATGCCAGGCAAGTTTAGTTTACCTTGTTTGGAGTTGGCAGAACTGCATTTTCTATTCCACGCCCCTGGCACACCTGACAATTGATTAGTTCTAAACGGAGTGAGTCAGTTTATGCTTGTAGATCACGTGCAAATTAGGGGAGCTGCTTCCATTGGCTGGAAATCAAGTCGGTTGCGTTCACTCCCACCACGGCGCAAACGGCAATTTCGAACTGCACCAGTCTACTAAAATGCCAAAAGAAAGAAAACTTCACCCATGGTTAGGCTGCAGTTTGCACTAAGCCTGTGCAAGACACGGAAATAGGGCCCAAATTGTGGGTTCAAAAAATATTGACAGAGAACCAAAAGCTATACATTTTTCAAATCCTCCTTTTTTCAAAGTTCAAATCAAATCCCTTTTTCAAATTTCAAATCAAACCCTTTTTTAATTTTTTTTTCTAATTTTCCTTGGGACAACATACAATCTAAGATAAATGTGAAAATGTAAAAATGTGATGAAAAAGATTTTTTTCCTTTTTTTACAAACAAATAAATTAAATAAATATTTTTTAATGTGACATAAAAAATTTGTTTTTCAAATTCTATTAAGACTAAGATTTTTCAAATAAAATATAAATAATTAAAAAAAAAAACATTGAAGAAGTGGAAAAGAAAAAGCTTACACACGTTATCAAAATGTTCTGACAAGGTTTACAAATTAAGACTCTTTTCTTTGAATAGTTTCATTTCATGAAGACAAAATCAGAGCTCCGGCCGAACACGCGCACACACGTGTGCGCCCAGGTCGCATCTGGAGGAGACCCGGTCTTCGTCTCAGCTGTCTCTCTGGCCTCCCGTTAAACGGGTGAGTCATGGCCAGCAATCACGCGTGCCTGCAGGGAGGTAAATCATCCAACACTTCGCCATTCTCATCAGCGTGTCGCTGCTTGACTGCCCAAATGAAACCGAGACGTCAATAACCACAAACCACAACATGCAGGGACGAGGTCATAATTGCTGAAAGGATCATTCAGAGCTTGATGCCAACTTGTCGTTTTAATCATGCGTGTTTGGCCGAATAAGAGTCTGGATTGTACACCTCGCGATTGTTATCGGCCGCCGTGAAAGAAAGCTGTGTCAAAGAACGTCATCCTTTTTAAATAGAGTCAAGCTCTGAATGCCACTGGCAGATGAATGACGTTTGTATCCCCCTCCGAAGAATATTGCTTTGTTTCCACTTGGTAGTTTAGACAATGTACGCTGTATTGCGGAGAATACGAGACGTCATGAATTCTTCTCGGTGAGATGCTAAAAAAACAATGTAGCTGCACAAAGAAAAAAAAAAAACGTCAGGCACGAAGGATGCCGCAGTTGCAAAGTTACGTCGGCGCAAACAGTTCGAGGCGTGCATTTTATATTGGTGGACGGGGAGCAGCAGGTGCACGGCTACGAAGTGATAAGGAAAGTGCGTTATGTGCAATTCCTCTGCAGCCCGTCTTGTCAGCAGGTGATGTCGGACTCAATTACGAAACAAGATGGATGCTCCACCACACTTCACTTATGAATACAACGGGAAAAAAAAAGCTTTAACATGACATGTTCGACGAATCGCAGTACCTGTACTTTAACTTCTTTTTAAAAATATATTTGCTCTGCAGCCCATTTAGGCAGCACACTGTTTAAGACATTGCTACTCTGCTCTCTTTGCTGACCATCACATCGCTCGGGAGCAAAAACAAAACCAAGAAACATTTAATTGTTTTCCCAGTCGGGCTGTAAGGACGACACCCTCAAGAAAAAGGCTGGGGGAGCCACTCCAAAAGGAAAAAAAATAAATACGTTAGCCATCCTTGCAGAGTATCAAGCTGAGCGGCCTCCCCTCCCGAGTCTGGTGAGACGCTTCAAGCACTGCTTAACTCTACACTCATCCCCTTTGAAGACAATGGCAACGCGTCCCCGCAGGGACCTTTGGCCCCCGGGGGACAGCTCTGCGACTGAAGTCTCAATGTTCAGCCCGCATGGCAACGTAATTGCGATGACGCCGATGTCTGGGCTCTTCCGGGTCGCGCGGGCGGTACATGTTTGATGCGGCTCGGAGGCTTAAATTAGTTTGTGGGACTCGGGAAGACCGTCTCAATATGTGCGGGCGGGCCAGCTCTTCTGCTTCAATTTGGGCTTTTGTTCCATAAATAAAATAAAATGACGGGTGTCTCTATACTCTACACATAAATGGGAAAGTAATGGATTCATTGATTTGCGTGTGGAAGAAAGTGAGTGCACTCAACTCGTTTGCTGTCCAATTGAGTATATGTGCTATGGGATGTTGTGCTCCACTTGGAAGACCTCAAAGACAACACTAGCATTGAAGCATTCATTCATTCATTCATTCATTTTCCGAACCGCTTGATCCCCACTAGGGTCGCGGGGGTGGGGGGGTTGTGCTGGAGCCTATCCCAGCTGTCTTCAGGCAGTAGTCGGGGGACAACCTGAACCGGTTGCCAGCCAATCAGCATTGAAACAGGAATTCAGATTTTTTTTTTTTTTTTTTTTTAATGAATTGGTTGTCCCCCCCCCATTGGTCCATCGAGTCCGACCGTCAGCCACTGGTTTTGTGGTGATTCCATATTTCAACTGCACCGTGTTGCAACATCGCCGATAGGGTTGAACGATTTTGAAAACTAATGTAATTGTGATTTTTCTTTCCCCTCACCCCCTCCTCAATTGAAGAGCTTTTCATCCTCCCGGCGCCCCCCCCCCCGCCCTCCCCACATCCCGCCGCAGCTATTCATTTCACCACGCTCCAAACCGGCCCGTGCTCTTTCTCCCTTTTCTCTCTGCTGCTGCCCCTTTTGTGATATTTGCGCGCGCATTGTGTTCACCTGCCCACTGACGTGATCAACACTCAGCACTGATTCACGGGCACGACGGGCCGTTGACAATGGCGCTCGTCGTTAGCGTGGGCTGTGGGCGAGTAGATACGCGCTGAGGACAAAAGGCACCGGGGAACAAGTGACCGTTCCGCAGCGAGAACGTGAAAATGAACAAGTAGAAAATGGTGTTGTTCGTGTCTATTTGCAGCCTGTCAGCAATGTTCTCGATCTAGTAAGCTTCTTCCATAACAAACTCAGGCAAGTGCGCAATTGTACAAAAAGAATTTCAGGGGGCAAACTGTAAAAGTTGTCACGTTAATGTCATTCGTCTTCCAAATGGACTGGAATGTATTTATTTGGCTTTAATAAGCTGCTACGTGTTCACGCATAGTATAGACGGTTATAAGTGGAAAACAAAAATGGTTCACAAAACCAAAAGCAGGTTCAACAATGACACCACAATTTAATCAACACAAAATACATGCGCCGATGTTTCAACAGCTTTAAAGTGCGCTGACATTATAAGCTAACTCATATTTAGCATTTCTAATTGGAACTCCCAAAGATTATAACAGCGCCAACATAAGGACCACATTTGTCCCTAATCTTTTTTTTTACTCGAAATTGTCATCACAGGGGCCGGAAAAGTCGCTAAATGTTACGACAATATCGCTAAGTTGCTAATATTTCACATTTTATTTTGGCTGCGAGAAGACATTGGTCAAAGACATTACTAGCTAGGATAGCATTTAGCCTCGCCGCTTCTATTTCTTCTTCTGCTACAACTGTTTTTCGGCTTTGAGTTTTCCGGCAGACTGAGTGCCTTGGGGTACCATGCTGCCTCTCACAGGTCAGTCTTGGTACTGCGACAGACTTCTCGTTTGGAGGAGGTATGGCTATGATTGCGGTGTGCTACATTACATGCTTTAAGAGCAGTAAGCGCAGATTTTTATTTATTTTTTCCCTCGTCATGTGCGAGGTCGCTCACATTGAGCAGCAAGTAGCTGGAAGGTGAGAGCCTCCCTCACTGCGCCTCATTTCTTTATGCCGCTGGATTATAGCTTAAGTGTCATCAGTTGCTAGTAGTTACCTTAGCAAACTGCAATAAAATACACTTAAACACACTTTCATTTCGGTCCTTTGTTTGCATTCATACCTGCACGCTGTGCTTGCACAAGTTTGGCGTAGACCACATCAGCCGACTCGATCAGTGTTCTGCTGGTCTGGATCATCTAGCCACAAAGAAAGTTCGAGCTCATCACATGACATTGAACGGTTTGATTTTTCGAAAGCAGGAGACGGGGGGCGAATTTGAAAGCCACTATTTGGTCACAGTTATCTTGTATCTCAGTCAACGAGCGAGATCAGGAAGTTTAGAAATGAATGCGTACATGTACACTCACCATGTCGTAAGCGTTGAGCACCTTGCGCAGCAGCTCGGGAACCAGACCCTGGGCCTCCATGGTGGGGTAGGTCTCGCTCAGGTCCACGGTCACCCGCAGAGAGCGCTCGCTGTTCATCAGCCAGGTGGACACGGTCAAGATGCACTGCTTCATGTTGGCGGCCGGCGTCAGCCCGCAGAGCTCCTTGAAGGACACCACGGCGTTCTGCGGGGAAAAGAACAAACGTGCATACAATTGATATTTGTTGACCTTGTGATTGCCAGCCAAAAATTATGGAATTCCTGTAAGGGAAATGCACTTAGGAGAAGTGGTAGTGTTCCAAATGTCTTTGAAGGAGACAATTTAGCGACAGGAGAAAAAACAGAAAGTGCTGCTTATTTGTCTAATGGCGACAATGAAATGACGGCACTTGTCTTCAAGTCACACTGCCGCCGCCGCCGCCGCCGCTGCTGCTGCTTGGAGCAGCTGCAGAACGAGCGTAGTTAGTCATTCTTGTTTAGCTTCATTTTTGATTACTCCGTAATTGTCGTATTACAAATGGGCTTCATTTTCTGTAATTCCATTGATATTGCATCACAAATCAGCTTCATTTTAGCAGAGCAACGTTCCTGACAGCTTGCTAAATGCCATTCTTTTCTTAATGAGAATTTATTGTGGCTTTATGAGAATCATTTGTATCGCTCGTTTTTTTTTTTTCTCCCCTTTTAAATTATGGCTCACGCATGTTAAGAGAGCAGCTTGAAAACAGAAAAACATGAACTGTTTTTTTTTTTGTTTTGTTTTTAAAATCTTGCAAAAAGACGAAGCTAATGTCAACGTCAAAAGGTAAGCAAGGCTGCAGTGAGTTCCGACTCACCATTGGCAAAGCAGCATCGAGCAGTGCGTAAAGTTGCTGACTTGCACGAGACAGGAAATAAGATGTGTAAAATCTGTTTGGGTATTGTGACAAAATTATGGATTGGCGAGTACTGACACCCAGTATCGTGCAAGGCCAATACCGGCCTTGTTTTCAGGTATCGGGTACTCATCGAAACCTCCGATACCAATCACCGATACCATCCATCCATTTATTTTCGAATCCGCTTTTCCTCGCGGGTGTGCTGGAGCCTATACCAGCTGTCTTCGGATAGGACGCGGGGTACACGCTGAACCGATTGTCAGCCATAACGCAGCAATCACAGATATGTATAGCAAAAAAAAAAAAAAAAGTCCTCCTTGGCAGTAGTTGGAGCTATACTGTGGGAGTATGACTAATTGGCGACTCGTCATCTACATCATGAAGAAAGCTCTTTCTTTCACAATTTTTGGTGGTATCAATGGTATCAAACGTGTCTCGCGCATGTCTTTTTTTTTTCTCCAGAATTGAAACAAATACTTGAAAAATCTAACTGAAGGAGAATTTTTTTTCTGCAGTTATCGCACTGGATCTGATATCTAGGGCTTGATATCTAGAATCTTCCGGCTTGATTTTGTCACACAATATCAAATACATCTTTGTGCGCATGTCATCAGTCACCCTGATTTAAATCACAGCCAGAAGAACAAACTGGAGCCAAAAGACAAGGCAAGTTGATGAAAAGAGCCCTGGAAGCAAACAACCTTTGAGGCAACCAGTCCACGCTCTCCCGCTGTGGGAACCGTCTGTCTCCCCGGGCTGGACCTGCAGAAAAATCCGGTCCACATGCCAGGAGGACACGCTGTGTCACCGCGCCACCTTTGTGGTGGCCCGGGGAAGAATGATGCAGTCATCTGCATGCTGAACCTGGACCACGGTGAGCACCTCAAGCCACTAAAGGGCTCGTCGGACCAACACATAATTACATGTGCCGCCTGTTTACGCTCGTCCCAGTGCACTAGTAGAACTTCAGTCATTTGCACTAGTTGTGTATTTGTTTTTGGTTCATTCTGTTGTGCAATTTAAATCCACAGTGGTGTTGCGAAACGCAACAAGAGGCTTGTGTTTTTAATTACCCCTCCCCCAAGCCCCAACTCCTCTCCGCTCCCCATTTGACCCCCCCCCCCCCCTTCCCACATTTCCCCAATGGAAGCTTTGTATCCCCTTGACAACACTTCTTTTGTTTCTCTTCCTATGTTTCCCACCCCCGCGCCCCCCTTTATGGGGAAATAGCATTGCGAGGAGGTGTATGTCAGATCAGCCTATAAGAGAACACTGTTTAGATTGAGGCAACGGCAGCCAACACTCCACAATCATCCTTCAAACTGTGAAATAGGACGCTCCATCGGTAAATCGGACACTGGTAATGGGTCAACCCCGTCATTCTCACACTTCATTACAAGGGTTTGTCTTCGTTTGAGCGCCACCCACTGAATTGGAGTAATAGTGCAGCTATTCTCATTGGTTTTCTTTCCTGAGGTGGAAAAGCGCTGCACAGGTGACAGCCGATTTTTCATTTACTGAGCCTCAATTTATTTTATTTATTTTTTAAATGAAACTAAAGCAGCATGCGATCATGCTGCTTCAGTTTATCAGAGTAGTTTCACACGTCTGCCTCTCGGTGGGTGATGTTTCTTTTGTCAATTTGACACGTCTGCATTCGTTTATTATTTTGTTTGCAATTGGGAGAAACATTCATTCATTCATTTTCCGATCCGCTTATTCTCACAAGGGTCGCGAGGGGTGCTGGAGCCTATCCCAGCTGTCTTCAGGCAGTAGGCGGGGGACACCCTGAACCGGTTGCCAGCCAATCGCAGGGCACACAAACAACCATCCGTGCTTACAATCACACCTAAGGACAATTTAGAGTGTTCAATCAGCCTGCCATGCATGTTTTTGGAATGTGGGAGGAAACCGGAGTACCCGGAGAAAACCCGTGCAAGGCCCGGGGAGAACATGCAAACTCCACATAGAGAGGCCAGAGCTGGAATTGAACCCGGTACCTGTAACCGCTGGACCACCAGGCCGCTTGGGAGAAACATTTAAGTAAAAAAATAAAAAGAAATAAAATCAAGAAATAACATTCACAAAGAACACAAAGGATAGAGAAAATATGGAAGGTTTGCTATCAGAACAAAATGATTTTAGTGCTGTAATAAATATTTTGACATCAACAGTTATGTTCAGCACAATGAGCGCGTGCCAACAGATGTTTGTAATTTGGTGCAAAAAAAAAAAAAAAATAGTATCTTTTTCAGTTTAAGATTTATTCTTTACTTTTCAGTCCGAGTGAAGAAACCCTCCAGAGATGCGGTGGTTGATGCCATCTGGGTTGTTGGCTCTCAGCCCGGCGGCATAATCCAGATCCAAGTAACAGGCTCCACACAACTGGCCACTACAAAGCTTTGGCCAACGTGTTTTTTTGTTTTTTTTTTCGTTTTTCCATTTAAAAGGCATTTTCTTTTATTTATTGAACACGAAGATCTTTTCAACTTCCCGCTGTCTTTTATCATCTCATTTGAAAAACACGCATTTCCATTTCAAAAGGAAATGGCGAAGTTGGTTTTGTGAGTAGCAAAGGCGGCAAGCGTTGTTTGATTGGGAGTAACGTAGCAATGGTCTGCCTACTGCTAATTTCCATGTATTAAAAAAAACAAAGCACATTCTGTGATAAATGCGATGCAATGATGAATGACGCTGTGCCCTGCACAAATATTAGCCATGCATTTATAACCTGCATTGATGGAGGCATTTACTTGGGCTTATTCAAATTTGGGAGGAGTTTTTAAAGTGGTTCTCGGAATGCTTAGCAACGGAGACCATGTTCCCTTTCGCGGTAATTCTCTCTCATTAATGATTACACTATTCATACACTGACTAATTGCATACCATTGTCGCAGCATTGCTGCTTTCTTACACAACATTAATGGAGTGCAATTAGCCACGAGGCTCCGTGCACAACGGTGAAGTCCTGTCGGAACACTTTACATCAAGTTGGAATCATGTCGTGTACTTAGTGAGGGAAGAAGTTTGGCATTGCCTGTCTTAAGGTATCAGTGAAAGTGATAGATTTTTTTTCTTTTGTTTTTTTGAAATAGTACTTGTTCCTTAGACGCTAATGATGAGGATGGTGCTCTGCTCTGACAAGATTTATGATGTAATTATCTGTCACCTGCTGCATTGTAAGAGCTGGGATGAAAAGAAAAAGCAAGGTTGTGGGTGGGTAAAGAAGACATCAAGTGCTCAGTGTGACAGATCTGAACGAGTTTACTCTTACCTGTACATTTTCTCTGAGGTCTGTGGCCTCCCGAAGAGGTTGGGTTGACGCCCTGAAGAGTTCGTCCACCACTTTGATCCCTGTCGTCTTGGTGGTGGTGTATTCTCGGGCCTTCCGACCTTTTCGGACTGAAATTCCCCTCTTATGGGCCTTTCCTCCTCCCCGTCTGTTTGTGATGGCCACGTGGACAAACAGGGTGGTGTTGGGTAAGAACTCCCCTGTCAGAGACTGTAGCGGGACATGTCTGTAGCCGGGCTGCAGGCACTCAAACGGGATGGTGTACTGGCCAATGAACTCATCTCCAATGTAGTCATCATCCAGCACCACAAAGCGGAGGACGGCTAATTCGGGCAAGTTGATCTGGAATTCAAAACTCTCATCAAAAATGGGGTTGTCGCCATTTTGGGACACGGTTTTGGTTCGTTGTTCTGCGCAATCAGCCGGGATGCCGTGAATCTCCACGTATATGTACGGTTCGACCACATCGCCCTTAGCCGCGGAGCCACGAGGTTTGGGGAGGTTCTGCCCGCTGATGACCTTTATATGAAGGAGCTGGGCGGAAACCCCTGGCAGGGAATCCCGAGCATTGGCACTGAAATAGGACACCTCCTCCCTCATGATGGCTGGTCGCAACACGTAACCGCAGTTGCCATTTTGTCGGAACCAGCCAAGGTTGAGGTCCATCATCAGGCCAGGTGTCTGGTAGTTCATGGCCACAATCTGGCAGCCACACTTCCAGAAATCTTGAGGGTTCATGTTACTGGCATCGATCCTCATCGGGGTGGGGTACACTCTGGAGAGAAAGCGCTTGTTGTAGCACACAAATTCCTCTGGAAACTCATTGGCGAACCTGTTGGCGTCAACTTCGTTGAAGGAGCAAATCTCCCAGTATTTTTGGTCCCTTTTTGACGTGTCAAAGTCCCTGAACTGTACCGATTTACAGAGAGACACAAGCTCCGAGAGCTCCTGGCACAGACGGAGTCTTTTGCAACCCAAGCCGTTTAGCTGGTCCCTGTCATCGACTCCAACTCGTCTGGACATTTCTAGACCCTCTTCCTCCTCTGTCACATCACCCTCCGACTCCATGCAGCTGGGCTCTAGCCTTTTGCCCTTGAGAAGGATTTTACCTTTGAGTTTCTCGGGAGAGGGTAGGTAGTGTTCTTCTTTGTTGGGGGAATCCACATAAAGTTTGTCCCCAAGAATCTTTTTCATGTGTTGGGCCATAACCCTCTGCTGAGGGATGGAGCAATGAGCGACTAAACAGAGGATCAGCGGATACTCGGAGCTCTCAAAAGCATATTGGTTGATGATATCTAAGACCTTGGAGAACGCTAACTGTGAGGCCACAGAGCTGCCAACGTACACCACCGGTTCGTTATCAGGGCCGTCCCAGACGATGACCTCGATGCTGCGACAACCCATCCTCAGAACGCGAATGTAATTACTGATGTCGGATGAACCCCAGAAGTGGTCTTCCAGAAGAGAGGCATTATGTGAAGAGTTGATGTAGTAGTGGGACAGGGGCTGAGTCATATCCTGGCAAACACGTTTGTGCTGCGGGTCAAAGATGTGGCACTCAGAGGAGAGGAGGTAATGAGTAAAACCATCAATGGAGAGGTAAATCCGGTCCCTGCCTTCGGCCGATGGCTCGTATTTTAGAACCATATCCCTGCACATGTCCTCAGTTACACCTTCTACACCCTGCTCCACCTCCACGAATAACATGAGGTCTTTACAGTCCAAGTACTCCTTGTTACTGGAGAACTGCATCAGCAAGAAGAAAATTTCCGGACGTGTACAGAGCTCACAGTAGGCCTCCACAAATGTGTCCATGTTAATTGCCTCACCGTATTGGTCTTTAGCTTTCTGGAGTTCTTTGAACTTAAGTTCTATCATTGCCTCTTTCATTCCGGGGTTGAGGCCCTTGATAATTTGAGTGGCCCTGAAAAGGTCAATGTGTCCATCCTTTTCCATGTCCGCCAGCTCAAAGACTGAGCTAATCCAAGATGTCCTTACACTTGGTTGGCTGGGCTCTACCATGTCGACGGTGTGTCGGCCGTAAGACACCAGATACCGCAGGCCCATCACCCAGGTGCTGACCACATCCGCCGTACTAGCAACCAAATCCAGTGACTCATAGTTGTCCCCATAGATGATCGAGAAGGCACATTCATCTGGGAACTGATCAGAGAGACCATTGCTGCGAAGGACCGGAGTCTTCTTCCCCAATCGGACCTCCTTAATGCTCTTGATCTCGAGCTTTGCCTTCTCGGAGTCCTTTTTGGAGGGCTCCCAGCGGAGCCAGTGCATGTCCGGATCCAGCAGAAAGTATCTGTTGTACATGCGGGAGTTGGAGCGGACCTTCTTCATCTCGCAGCCCTCCATCATGAAAGCCATGCATGCCGCTGTGCTGTTGATCTTGCGGTCACTCGGCATGGAGCTGAAGGAGACGGTCTTTTTCCTCACTTGCCTCTGTTTGGACCCGTCCTGTAAACAAAAGCAGGGAAAATGAGTTCTACAAAGCTAAATGTTCAACTCAGTTAAAAACACAACACATCAAAGTCCCGGTACCTGGCATGACGAGCGCTCGACAGTATGTCATTTTCAAAGGGATGTTCAGTCTCTATGGAAATGGTAAATGATGATGGGCTCTGCTGACCTTTTACTGAAAACCGAGCTCATTGCCTGACAGAAACCATCACAGTCGAAATCAAGAAAATGGAAAATGTGCCACATTCCATAAAATGGCAAATAACTCAAAGATCTCAGTCGATATTGCTAAGATTAAAGGCGATTAAAAAACCTTTTCCATTTTCACTTTAAAAATAATAAACAAAAAAGGGCAGGTGATAAGAACAACCACTATAAATACTGGTCCAACTACAATATGTCTGTACACAGCCTTCTTCCGACAGCTGATGCCTGTACGGATCTGATGGATCTGCCCATAGAACATCGTTCGACTTAAGGCACACCGGAGCGCCTCTGAACCATCCATCTTCCTCCTGACAGTCGGGGGAAGATGAGGTCCAGTACATCACCCTGATTAATAAGTAAACCTCAGTGTGAAGGGAGGAAAAAAATGCTATGAAGAAAACCGGGGTACTGAGAGAAAACATCACACAGAGGGATCAAGTTGGAATAAGAACTTTTTGAATGTGAGGCAGCCATGCTAGTTGAGCTCCAACCGTCAAGTTGAATCTTATTTTTCAACTTTGATTCGGAGCATGTTTCTGAAGACGCTCCTGGGTTAGGGATTTGTTTTTTTTCCGCCCTGAATCATTTACTCAAAGCAATGATAAAAGAAAAATAACTGTGTGAAAATTTTTAACTGGAATATAATTCAATGAGATCTATGATGTGTGATTCAATCCGTGTTGTTTTGTGGTTGTCTTAATGATGGATGTCGGGTTTTTTTTTTTTTGTTTGTCTGTTTGTTTTTCTTTTTTTCCTTGCGCTCCTCGTGGTTAAGATCAGGGGCGGTTGTTAATCTTGGTCAACTGTGGACAAATGAAGTCCTTTGAGACTTTTCTGTGATTAAAGGTCTATTTAAAGAATTTTGACTCGACGTGATTTATTTGGCTGCCTGAACGGAAAATACAAATCTACACTAGCAAACTCTGACTCAAACTAAACTTTGAGAGTCTGTGTACTAATCTGGTTGATGGCATTAGAAGGAATAGAAATTCCTTCAGGAGGTGGACCTCGTGAAGGGAAATCATTCACCCTAGTCGGGAGGTGAATGGATATTTCCAACTGAGACCGTCAACAAAGACGCCTTGAACATTTGACTTGATTCGACATGATGGCTGAGCAATGTGTTTTGATGCGTCAACGCTAAAAGGTGCGGAGAAAAAGCAGATTTCGAAGTGGTTGTTTACGCTGCGCGCCTCGCGCGCGGTTGACTTGGTTCGGAAAACTCGGCAGTGACAGACGTGGCGACAGAAGCGGCGGGGAGTTGAGAAAACAGGTGCAGATGGCGAGGAGCCCTCCAGAGTCCTCCGGTCTTACTGGTGCGATCAAATCACATCAAGACGTCAGAGTGTAAAAAATCACAATCAGCTTTTTCGTCCCGAAATACATAAAATGGAGACACGGGGGCGGCCGGGTGGTCGACTGTTGCGCGCGTCGGCCTAACGGTGTAGAGACGCAGGGTTCGATTCCAGCTCCGGTCTTCTTATGTGGAGTTTGCATGCTCTACCCATGCTAGTGTGGGTTTTCTCCGGGTACTCTGGTGTCCTCCCACTTTCCAAAAACATGCATGGCAGGCTGATTGAACGGATGAGCGAATCCGAAAATGGATGGATGGATGACTCCAAAAGACTTTACAGGTCATCATCAGAACGCCACCACCCCACTGACCCACCACGTAACCCTGAGGCACAACCACACTTCTTAGCGCCAACCCCTCGACAATCACACATTGGCGCGTAACCTGCCACATTGAACCCAAGGCGGCTATCCTTCAACGCTAATTGAGTGCACTCCCCCCAAAAAAGTGCAGGGACAGAAGCATCTGTTGGTAGAGAGGAAGAAAGAGAGGTGACGTGGATCTATGCTAACAATGTTTGTGTGCAACAGGGTGGCGGGTAGGAGGTGAAGTGACTGATGAAGACTGAGAAAGAGAACGGGTGAGGTGAATGCGTTGAATAACTTGATTTGTTTAGATGTTTTAGACATGCTGTGCAACCTCAATGCCAATAAAGCAAATTGAATCACGCTGAGGAGAAAAACCCACGTCATTGAGTAGGTGGGGGGGCTATGAGGGGGAGACACAATGAACACTTATGGTAGGTGGTATGGCAACTAAGCACGTTTATACTGGATTTTTGAAACATAAAGTGGTTTAATTTACAGGAGTCCATCTAAAGGCGAGACTAATGCAATATAAGGTGACACAAATACAAAGAAGATAAGCAGCTGCCGCTCAATCATATAAAACATCAAGGTTATTCCGCTAAGTGATTCAGCCCAGTCACCGAATGTGTTGCTGCAGCTGTTTCTGGTCCACCATTTATTTATACGTAATGAAAAACATCCGTAAAAAAAAAAAAAACTGACTAAACTGTCCTCAGTCAGTGAATGGATGATTAAGAATTCTCTTGATTGTGTGGAATTGATGGCTGACACTTGAGCGATTATTCTGTGGTGTGGGGTGAGTTGAAAGTGATTTTGTTCTCCTCAGAAAACAGTTGGGGGCGAGAGTGGTAAATGCTCACAATTTTATAATGGCAAATCTTTAGGTGTGCGACAACACCCAACACCAAGTTGGGCAGATCCGTGGACTCTGTGCCTTTGACCTGAAACTGGTGGGAAGCCCAATTTAGCAGCGACCTGAAGCTTGCACCATTGCGGGACGCAGATAGAGGACCAACTGGTTGTCTTGAGCCTTTTTATTTTTTTAATCAAGCCTCCTGACTCATTCACCACAATAAAAATGAGAGAAGACAATACTGATGATTCAATATCAAGACGTATCTAGATCAACGCGTGATCAATATCAATTGAAAATGTGTTTCAAGATAAGTGGCTACAGTACGACGGTAGATTTGTGCCATTATCGCAAGCACATAAGAGGACATTTTGAGCACAAATGGGTGTTTTGAGTGCAGCCGAGTCGCTGAGTGCTCGTCTGTCTCGTGCCCAAACGAAGAAGCCGCTTGAACCAACCAAGTGCGCGTACGCAAGCACACGCTTCTTTGTAGCATACACACGCCAAATGAAAGTGTGACTTTACTTTGTTCAAATAAATGACCCGTCGCCTCTGCGCAACTCTTGCAATGAGATTAGATTGTGGAATTTAACATCTCTGGATGGATATATAGAGTACAAGTCAAGGACTTCCCTGTCTTTGACGAGCTAGCTTGGATGCTAGCAGGCGCTAACACTCAGCATAGCCTTGAAATCACAATCAGGTAAAACAATAACGTGTCTTTTGGCAGTCATGAACAGTATTTTTCCTCTGGATATTTGTGTTCTATTGTAGTTTATCTTTCAATATATATCTCAATAGACTGATATGACTTACTTATATTGTGATACATTTAACACCCTACACTACATGATAATATTTTAGCGACTTCCGACAAGTGGGCGTCTGCTTCACAGTCTTGAAATATTTCCTTCATGAGATTTGGAAGGGAGTAACAGAAGACAGCAAGGCAGCAAGTAGCAGCAAGAGCGGCCTTGTCACCATTTGTCACCCAAATCTGTCGAATGGGCGGAAGCCTAAAGTCTCAGTTATCGCAGCCGCACATTGTGCAGCACGTGGCAACATCTTAGTGCGGTAGCTAATGTGCGAATGGCTGTTAGAGGTCTGGGAGGGGGAAAAAAAAAAACCCACAACAACATGTGACTAGAGACATGCCTCAACACCCTCTCCGTTCTTTGCAGAAAATGGATTTACACTTCCATCCGGGAGGTTATTTGACGCTAGGTCCCCTTGCCTGGAATGCGAGTCTCCCGCTTGTCTGTTAGAACTTTGCGCGCGCGCAGCTAATAAATGGAAAGCTTCCAGAGGACCTTGTAAAAGAAAAAGACACAACGAGCAATCTCGCTAATTACCGGGCCCGTCGAGAGAGTGGAGGTCAATGCTATCGAGCTGTCAAAGCACATAAGGCAAACACGAGCGCCGCAGTCCGGTCTGGCTACTTTGCACAGTCACGGCGTCGGTGTCGAAACGTCTGTTGGCTTTCGCTGCCAGTCGTGAGGATCGACCGATATATTTATGAGCTTGGGGCAATAAATCACACTATAAATCACACTGCGCCCTTTTTTTTTTTCCTGTTTTGCATTTGAAAAGACGCAGCCAAGGTACCCACACTCCTTACATGAGTAAAAGTACAGATACTTGCTTCAAAATAAAATAAATAAAAACTTGAAAAGACAAGTACCGATTGTGAAATGCACCCAAGTATAAAAGTAAAACAATTATATACAGTGGTACCTCTACTTACAAAATTAATTGCTTCTGGAAGAAATTTCTTGAAATTTTGTCAGTAGAGACGCCTTTTCAATATAAATGCCCTAATTCGTTCCAAGCCCCTCGAAAATTCTGACATAAATGTTTCCTAAAGCATAAATATGCATCAAAATACGTCACAAATACATGTTACAATTCGATTATTGCATGATAAATGAGAGTTGTGCATAATGGAAAAAATCTATGAAATGCGTAAAGAATAAAAATGGTCATTTAACTTTGAACTGCGTCCTTATCGTTTTTTTGCCCTTTTTCTCTCTCAGAAGTGGTTTTTGCCTGGCGTTTTGGAAAGTACTCATCCGAGGACGTTTGCTTTTGTCCGCTTTGAACAATCCTTCGAAAATGTCAAAGGCAAACATCAGCCTAGTGAGCGATCGCTTGTGAACACTTTTTCTGGGTGATTCACATTTTACGTAAAACTATCGGAACACCTCATGGCCCGAGGGGTGAATGACAAGGACGCTGCATAGACACATATCTATCCATCTACACACACGCTAGAAGT